TGGGCCTAAGCCAGCAGGTGGTCATCCCCTGAGGGGTCCCAGACTGCAAGAGGGCACAGGCCGGCCTGAGGGACCCCCCCGAGTGCACAAATTTTTGTGCACCAGGCCTCTAGTATGTGTGTGTGTGTGTGTGTGTGTATATGTATATATGTATATATATATATATATATATCTAAAAAGAGTTAAACAACTTTGGATCCTTTCTATGCGCAGATTTCTTTTTTAATAAGGCTGTTTGCTCACTTAGCTCCCTCTTCTTTTTAAAACTCCTTTCCCCAGTATAGTTGGGTAGCATGTTTTAGGAAGTTCCATGAAATGGAATTTTGTTATTTGGCATGCATACTATGGGGCGCGGCTACAGTGTTTTGGCCAGGTTCAAGCCTCGGACTAATGAAAGGACAGGGTCCTCTCATTGCCACGTGCAAGTCCCAGCTGGAGGGCAGGGCCCTCCCAGCACAATTAAGCTTGAACCTATGGTCCAAACACGTAGCCCCACGTGCCTTGTGGTAGAGTTCAGGTGCATATAGTTGAGTGAGGTTGAGACTCACGAGAATGCTGTAAACAACGTGATCACGCCCCTACTTTGCCTCGTGGCATCTGCTATAAAATAAAGACACGGCTTGTGGGCGCTGGCGCTGTCTCCTCATCAGGGAGGCAGCGTCCCACCGAGACCCAGCTATTATTCTCTTGTCTGTCTTTCCTTAATCCTCTCACCCCCCTCCCCCACAGTTTACCGTTGGCCGCAACGGCATACTATTTGAGAACTGGACGTGGTGTTTTTTTGTAAAGCTGATGTGAAAATAGAATTAGAAACAAAATCTTGCAACCCAGAAAATCTCTCCAAAAAGGTAGAAGGGAAGAAAACGATTTTATTGTGAGTGAACATTGAACCAGAATGGGATGTGCATCAGGTCAGCCACTACAGCTGGAGAAGACAGTGGCTACAGCCTATTACTTCCATGCTGTCAAGATAAATTGCTAATTTCTTGTATCTTTATCAGTGGAGGTAGGTTTTGCAATTTGGAGTCAGGTGGCAAATTAGGCCCATCTTTTCCTAGGAAACTTGGAGATTGGGCATTATCTTCCTTTATTGTAAATCCTCACCTGAGGACATGCTCATTGATTTGACATGTTACTGATTTGAAAGAGAGGAAGGGAATTGCAGTGGGGAAGGGGAGAGAGAAACAGAGAAACCAATGTGAGAGAGAAACCAATTGGTTGCCTCCCTTTAAGTGTCCTGACTGGGATTGAGCCCAAAACCCAGGTATGTGCCCTGACTAGGAACCAAACCTCCAACCTGTGGTGTAGGGTGATGCTCCAGCCCCCTGAACCGCCTGGCCAGGGCTGCATGGTATCTTTCTTGATTACATTTCAGAGGTGGCTCTCAGGCCCTTAAGAAACATTCCTGAGAAATAAGTGAGAAGAGCTAGAGGTGTAAGATTCACATACATTGGAAAAGGACTGAGAAGAATTCTGTAAACAAAGGATGGGGAAGGAGCCTCTTATTTTTAATGTTGCCCTTATACCAGCAACCACAGGGGCCACCACATAAAGCTGTCACTGTATCCAGAGGCGACTGTGCCTTTAGTCCCTTAGGCTTTGATGGCGTTAGAATAATGCTTTGGAAAGCCATAGCATATTTGTTATGTTAAACAAACAATTTTAACTTCCATGGCTGACAGTCTTTAAAAGAAAGGGATTATTGGGCCATTGCAGGCAAAAAAGAAGACGGGTCTTGGTGCCTGGAATCTAAACAAACCACTAGCAGCACGGTTAGGTTGCAAAGACAGCCTGTTCCTTGTCGGAGTTTTGCAGCCGTTTTCCTACATCAAGTAAGGGAGAAAGATGGAAGCCAATTTGAAAGGCTCGACACGAGCTCTGGACCAAGAGGCCAGGGGAAGGTGGAGCTGGACAGGCCGCGATGGGCTCCGGGCCCAGGGAAGCCTTGGGTAGGCGGTGGGCAAGTTTGGGAAGCTCAGGTGTAAGTAAGAAGCCCAGGTCCTGGGGGTCCGAGGTGCCTGGCTGTTCTCTTCAGAATAATCGAGGAAATAGCCCCCTGGAAACTAATCCGAAATTCCAGCGTGGGCCAAGGAGCAGGAGCAGCCTGTTAGAGCCAGCTCACAGCTATTCACAGGCTGGCCGTTCTTCCTGTCTTTTTCTCTAGCCTCTGTAATTTTAATTTAGAACATCTCAGACTTGTTTTTTTGGTTGTTTACTAGGAACTAAAAGCTCTTCAAACATTTCTTAGTTTTTTCTGTTGACACCAGTGCTTTTGGCTGTGTTTTAATGTCAGTGTTCATGTTGTTTTCCTTTTGTTCACGGTGGGACTTCATGGTAGGGAGCAGTGCATTTGGGCTTCACAAGAGTAGGACTGAAGTCTGGACGTTCATATTTGTAAAGCTCGAGTATCAGAATCTGGGACACTAATGCAAGGAAATGGATGAGCTGGAATTTTCTGTTACCAGTTTTGAAAATGCGCACCAGGAAGCTCCTGATGCCTTTACCCTTCCGGTGAGCAGGCTAGCTGTCTGTTGGGACAAGCCTTGGTGTGAAAGGGTACAGCCATAGAGTGGGTTAGATGCTAATGTGAGGTCAGTCTGTTGGTTTATTCTAAAACTTGACAGAGAGTCTGGTATGTGGCTTGTCTTTTTCAGAGTTATAAAAGGGGCCTATCAAACAGGACTTTGCATGTTTGTAATTTAAGTTGTGTTCATCAATTAAAATGAGAAAACATGACCTATTGGATTGTATCTGGCATGTTCACGTTCTCATGTATCTACACAGGATTGTCTAGGGAAGTAGTTGGGATAATCAGCAGTCATAGTGAGGCTGCAGTGAACTTTAAAGGATCACTGGTTTATTGTTTTGGTTATGGTGCGTCCAGAAAGAAGGCGAATATGCATTAGCGAAGAGGGGAGAGTGATGGTGGTGTATTGACTTGCATCTTCTTAGGTGGCAGCGAGACTGGAATTGCTCCAGGCAGCTTTAGGAAGCACACTGAGGAGCAGTTAGGGCGATAACCTGCATGCTCGTGTCAGCGTGATGCTGACTTGCCCTGGTGTCTGGGAGTTTTAAAGCCAGTTTTTATGGGGGATAATGTAATGTACTGTCAAGAATTCTCCCTGATGCCGGATTATACTAACAACTTTTAAAACTTTTCAATTGTATTAGAACATAATAAATAGAAATTTTAAAGGGCAGCTCTTTCAGACATGTACTGCTTTCTTGACTCCCAATAGATAACTAAATTATTTTATCAGGGATCTTATTCTCATAAGTTAAACATGAACATTATTGTTAAATAGGAAATTTCTTAAATTTGGTTTTTAAATGGAGTTTTATGTTCTAAAATATTCTCTCTGATTGCTTTTAGGTTACCTAGGGTATGAATTAATACAGACTTGGAAACTGAAAGAACTTAGAATCAGCATTTTGAGGTAAATATGTACATACTTCAATAGTGTTAAGGTACCCTCATTCTGCTTTGTTAACTTCCTAGCAAAGTAAATTTGTGTATGGAATGAGCAAGTTTAACCTCCGCAGGAATGTTCTTTAAACAACTAGACTGCCCTTAGGTAAGTGAAAGGAGACCCTCCATTTGTTCTCCCCGAGCTTGTGCTGGTAGCAGCATTGCAGTACGCTAATGAACTCGGGTCAGCCCTCACAGAGCCAACGTGTGCTGATTCAATTAAACGTTCAAATTCGTGCTTCCTTAGTTTCTGACTTAGAATCTCTTTTAGGAGAACCACCTCTAAATTTAAATTTCTCTACAATATTGGTGAACTGTGTTTCTGAATTCTTTTATTCATAAATGAGTTCTATACTAGTTTATAGTGTGGACTTAACTGTTTTTGAATTTGTGTTTTCAGTTTCATTTTGAGAAATTGAAATTGCTGATAACATTTTATATACATATTGAAGACCTATTACTAGATGATTTGGATTTTTCAGCCTGACCTCTTCTGGCGACCTTCGTTATTTCATTTGTGTATGTGAATTTAGGAAATAACACATACTTACTCTTTTATTTTTTTCATTGTTCTAGTCTTCATCTTTAGAATTTATTTACTTCGTTTTATTTCCTTGTATTCATTTTAGAATCTGTTCTTGAATTTTTTTCTTTCCCCCACATCTCTTGGAATTAGGCCTGCTATTGTTCCTTCTTTTGCTCTTTGTTTTAGAATAATGTGGTACCCTAAAATAACCCAAATGTCTTTTGTTTAAAATTTAATACAAAAATAATGGCCTTTATTCAACTCTTCATATTAATAAGACACTCTTATAGATGTGTTTATATTCAGTTTAAGTACAGGAATCTTAAAATTGGCTATTTTGCATTTGTTTTTAGAGCAGAAGCATGGGCATGCTGTGATTTTCCAATAAACTGCTGTCACAATGTCACAATGCAGTGCAGACAACAGCAACACAGAGATCACACATTAAAACGGTAAACCCGCGACGTAACCTGTGTGGGAAGTGGAGAAGAGTTTATCGTGTGTTGTGCTAAGTTGTTTTAATATATGGAAACTATGAAACAGCCTCACCAATTTCATGAGTGTAAATTGTTTGACCAGAAATTTAAAATCTGTGATTGAAAAACAGTCACGTGGAGTTACTGTTGGCGCTGCTAAGGCAGTTACTGTAGTCAGTTCATCTATGAACTAGCACTTTCACTTACCAGCAGGGATTCAGAGCATTTCATTAAGGCCGAGTGAGGGGGAAAATCCATTTCACCGTGCCAAAGAAAGTCGAAATGGGCAGAATTATAGGTTCTTCTGTTTTCACATGATTGGATTACCTGTTGAATTTTTAAATCTTGGATCTGCTTTCCCTAAATAGGAAGTATATTACCGGGGCCAGCCCCTGTATACTGAAAGAATGACAATTAGTGTAAATGTTATAACCTCATGGAAACTATAACTGGGAGGGCTAAATGGCTGTCCTCCATTTCCTTGCTAGTCTTCTCTCGTTACACCTCCAAGGCCGGGAGGAACGGTGGTGTGGATTTCCAAGCCAAATAGATAGAGGTTTTGAGCCGCCTGTGATTCTGCTCTACACATATTGTTTTTGTGATTAATCACTATGCTTTAGTTATGTTCAGTTTGTAACAATGAAATTGGGGGTCACCATAACATGAGGAACTGTATTAATAAAGGGTCGCGGCATTAGGAAGGTTGAGAACCACTGATTTAACTGTATACCTGGTACACGCACCAGGCAAGTTCAGAGCTGTGGACAGTGAGGTGTACATCTTGTTCTGTGGAGCATGTGTGCCAGTAGAAGAATAAGGTGTGTGTGGTGTCTGAACAAGCGCAATGTGGTCTACATTATGAAAGGCAGAGAGGCCGTTTGGAGGTTTTCATGTCACTCATGTGGGCATTGTTTTCATTCTGCGGACTGGGTGCTGGTTTGCCCTGGCCTGGTGTGATCCGGTGCTGTGGGTGACACAGTGTGTGTGAGGCATAAAGCTCCTGTACTCAAGGAAATCCTGGCTTAGTTGGTCGTATTTATTTACTTTTTAGAACTCTTTATTTGGAAATAATTTCAGTCTTAAAGGAAAAGTTCAGGATAAGAATAGGACAAAGAATACATGCGTTACCCATTTGCCCCACTTGCTGTATCAGTTGCACCCACACACTGTATATCTATACCTGGTTTCTCTTTCTGAACCATCTGAGAATAAGTTGCATATATCATGGCCCTTCACCACTAAATCTTCAGTGCATATTTCCTAAGAAGAAGGCTATTCTCACACAGCCCCGAGCCGCACTGCAGTGAGTTTGACTGCCGTTTTCTGCAGTTTCTTCACTGGGCTCAGGAATGGACTTTAAGGCGTGGATCTGCCATTGACACGGGAGATGAGTTTCTGCACTTAGCTGTTATGTCTCCTGTAGTCTTCTTTAATCTGGAACATTTTCTTTCTTTTTTTCTTCTTGTATTTTAAGATACATTTTTGAAGAATACAGACCTCCCTTTAAAAAAAATGGAACATTCTTCTCATTTGTTTTTGGAAAGTTTTTCCCGGAGTTATTAATGATCATAATTACTGATGTCATCTATATGAGAAGGAATGGTGACACGTGACAGTGGTAGGGAGGAGGGGTCCTGCTGATTCCTGGCTGTGCTGGTGGAGGGAGGTGTAGTTGGAGTTTTATAGGCATTGTTGCCCTCTTCTCTT